CGCCCCCCCCCCCCCCCGCCCCCCCCCCCGCAGGACGAGACTCGCCACAGCCCCGCGACGCCGGTCACTGATACATCCCCTCCACCCTCCGTGCCTGACCTATACTCTGTTTTATTTCTTTTTAGGTCCAGTTCCCACTTGTGACCACACGTGGCCATGCCAGCGACTGTGGTGCTGCTTTCAGTCCTGTTCGGGCTCCTCCGCACCTCTGAGGGGCAAACGTTTCGCTTGGGGCGATGCCCGGAAGCCCCCGTCCAGGAGAACTTTGATGTTTCCAAGGTGGGAAGAGATCTCAGGTCACGCTGGCTCAAAGCAAGCAAGGCAAAGAAGGCGGGTAAAGAGCAGCAGCTGAGCAGTGGAGCCACTTTTGTGGGGCTGTAACTCCCTGCGACAGGCGTCATGCCTGTGCCCACCCCACACAGGCTGAGTCCAATTGCGCTATCCCGCGCTCTGCTATACTGCTGTTCGGCGGCAGGCCTCAAAGCGCTTTCCCAAGGAGGCAAGGGCCATTATTCCCTTTGGGTAGAGACAAATGGGGAAAGTGAGGCACAAGAGTGCACAGGCTAGTGGCTGAGAATTCAAGTGTCCAGAATGCAGGTCTAGGACTCAGTTCATGCGGCTCTCTGATACAGCCTCTCCTACCACAGAGCTCGGCTTTCTAGATCAAGTCATAGAAAAGTTTTCTGACTCGAGCAGAGTAGGGACAATGTTAATGAATGATCCGCACCGCTCCGCAGCCTGTTGGTCACACCCATTGAACCTGCATGCAGCTGAGGCCAGTAACTGGGTTTTCTTTTCCAGTATGTGGGGAAATGGTATGAGATCGAAAAGCTGCCTGCGTCCTTTGAGAAGGGAATCTGCATCCAGACCAACTACGCACTGATGGACAATGGGAAGATTAAAGTGCAGAATCAAGAGCTGCGGTAAGTCCCGTTCCCCAGGCCTGTGTTCCTGCTGCAGCCGGGTCCCAGTGAGCCTTGAGTTTTCTTGCAGTGAGCAGAGTGTCCCTTGACTTGCTCTCGCTGGCTGATATTGGCTCGGCCGCCACAGCCTCCTCTCACATCCCGAGAGCATCGTGCAAGGAGGAAACTCACCTCCTGGTGCAGTCACTCAGCTGGCAGGACAAGTCAGAGGTAGCATGCGGCCCGGCCGCACCATATCCCGTCCCATATCCCGTCCCAGCGCTTTTACTTGGGTCTCCAGGTTCTGTCTCGTATCCGTTGAGCGTTAGCACGTCTGGCCACGCTGCACAGCGACCAGCGAATAGGAAGAGGTCGATGGACACAGAAAACTGTAAAATACGTCATGCTGAGTATTACTTTCTGCCTGGCCCCCAGCCCTCTCTGGCATAACCCCATGTGTCCTTGCTTGGTTGGAAAGCCAGATGCCAGCACGTCGTGCGGGCTGTGCTGGGCAGGCTGGGGGCCAGTCACAGGCTGTCATTCATCCCTGTGCAGAGGCAGCACAAGACCCGTGCACCTCACGGGTGGCTAGGAGGAGCCTCACCAGAGAATCAATTAAGGGCCCACAAATGCAACCAATACCTCTTGGCCACTTCTCGTGAAGCCGGGATCTGTCTGTCTGTCTCTGCAGGACGCGCGTCCCTCTCAGTAACTGCCATGCCCTGTGTGCCAGGAGCACAGCCCACGTCACGCAGTCGCAAGGAGCACTGTCATTGCATGGCTTGCTTGGAGTGTTTTCCTGGGGGCTGGCGAGCCCACACAGCTCTTGCGACGGGGCTGCGCATTGTTCTGCTGAGCTGTCAATAGTCTCAGCTTTCGCAGGAGTCGCTTGTGAAGGAATGAAGGAAAGTTGCTCTTCACAGTCTCTGGAGGCCTTTGTTGTGCTGCTTGCCACCAAAATCGCAGGCATCCTTTGTGCTCGGCTAATGAGCGGTGCCCGGCGGCTCTGCCCCTAGGTCACTGGGTCTGTGTGGAACTGGTTGTGGTGGGACTGACTGTCTGTGTAACGACTGCCCCCCCTTCGGGACCCTAGCTCAGGGGGGCAGACTACATTCCGTGGGCCACATGTGGCCCATCAGCCATTGGAATCGGGCCCTTAAGCTCCCGGCCACTGGGGCGCAGGTCGGAAGTTTTACCCTGCTCTGCAGGGGCTGTGGCTCCGTGCAGCTCCCAGAAGCACTGGCATGTTCCCCCCAGCTCCTACACATGGGGCAGCCAGGGGGATCCATGCTCTGCCCCCCCACGTGCTGCCCCTGCAGCTCCCATTTGCTGGGCTGCACCTGCGGATGGGGGAAATGCACAGAGCTGCCTGGCCATGCCTCCATGTCGGAGCTGGAAGGGGGACATGCTGCTGCTTCTGGGGGCTGCTTAAGGCAGTAAGCACAGCCCAGAGCCTGCTGCACCCCTGAACCCCCCCTTCCCCTCCTTCTCTCTAAACCCCTCAGCTCCAGCACACAGCCCAAGCCTCTCAGAGCCCTCCCCTCCTCCCACACCGCAGCCCTCATTTCATGAGCATCCGTGGCCCTTCCTCCATATACTTTCCATCCCCTGGTGGGATCCTCGGGCCAGTTTGTTCGCCACCCCCGGCTCCCGTGCAGACAGCCCGGCCGCAGTGCTGGCTGGAGGGGACTCCCACGAGAGAGAGCCAGGACTGGTTTTGCTGCGTTCTTAGCGCTCACACACACTTCACCCCCTTCCGGTCCTTCTGCTCTTGGAGGGGCAAGGCAACAGCCCTAGCAGAGAACACAGCGTTGTGTATGCTCAGAGCACTGGGCTGACCTCTTGGCACATGCTACCACAGTCTTCTTTTTACAGATGGGGGAAACGGAAGCAAAGAGGCAAAATGACTTGCCCAAGGCCACAGTGATCAGTGGCAGAACAAGTAGTAGCACTCAGGCTCTCTGGCCTCCTAAGCCCAGACCATGTGACTCTCCTTCCCAGTCCCAGGGTTGGGCAGCTCCTGTTGAGAGGGTTGTTGCTGTTGCGTGGAGGTGTTGGGATGGCAGCTCAGACTGTTTCATTAAACAAATCTTCCTGTGTCAAAGTGGGACGTGCAGTTGGCCTGGGGATAATGTGCTTTAATCTAAGTAGGGCACAGGCAGTTAGACGGGCGTGCACGCTGCACGCCTCTCGAAGCTGGGCAAGCTCTGTGGGTGTCGGGAACTCCTGTCCTTACACAGCAGAGGCCTGAGCCCCTCTGCCTGGCGCATGGTGTGGGTACGTGCGCTCGCCTTGGCTTAGCTCTGGAAGCGCCTACTCACTCCAGGGTGGCTCCTGCCTGCGTAAGTCGCCCAGTACGTGGACCCAACAACTCCACCCCCGCGTGAGGTGTAGCACTAAGGCACCGCACTCAGTGCCAGCACAGCATCAGTGCTCCTGTCAGCGTTCCGGCCGTCAGCCCCTGCAAGCTGACAGCCGGCGCCCTGCCCCCGGGGCTGACAGGTCAGTCGGTGCCAGCGCCCTGCGGGGGCCATGTGCTGACAACAGACAGAGCTAGGAAGGCCATGCAAAACCAATGTCATTAGTGTTGTGGCTGTACATCAACGTGACTTCAGTCAGCTTCATTATGTAGCCTCTGCAGGCCCTGATTCTCCTTTCACTGACACAGATCTTACGCCATGCGGCTCCATTGCATGGGGTACTCCATAGTCACTCCCTAGTGCTGCCTCTCTTCTACCCATGCAAAGTGCTGTCAGATCTGAACACTCCTGGCCCGTAGCTTTGCACACACGTGTAAGTCTCTACCCAAAGTGTGGGAAAGGAGAGAATTGGTCCCCAGCGAATGGAGGATCAGGTCCCTGGAGGCCGTTTTCTTGGGAGCTCCCTTTGTAAGGAGAGCAGGACAGGGGAAGCTGAAGCATGGTGGAAGAACAATATACATTTTCTAAGTTTTAAGCAGACCTGGGCATGCGCGGGGCTGGCTCTCGTTTCAGAGAGAAAGGAGAAATGGCTGGAAATGGTGTCAGTGAGAGTCCCTGCACAATGTGAGCACCCACAGAGCTGTGCAATTGGACGAGTGACAAACAAGTAACACCTTTCCTTCCCGAAAGCACATCTCCTTCTGATTCTTGGTGGGGGTGTTTGCATTTTGCTGGAGCCAGAGCCCATGGGGCTGGCCATTATACAAATGCCAGAAAGAAGGCAATCTCTGCCCTTCGAGATCTTGCCCTCCTCGCTGGGTATCGGAGAGCTTCCCAGCAGAGTCATAAGCTCCATGGCAAATGTCTGTCACATGGCTGGGTTTTTTCTCTCTTCCTCTCTTGCACAACAGTTGGGGGACTTTCCTTCTTTGCTGTATATGATACATTGCATGCATGCTGGGCTATGGGTTTATATTTGCAGTACACTGACGCTCAGGGGCTACATCTCCACTGCAGGCTTTTTGCACAAGAACAGCTGTTCTTGCACAAAAACTTGCAGAGCATCTACACTGCACGTGCGTTCTTGCACAAGTAAATTTACAGTAAAGCGTCAGAAAACAGGGCTTCTTGCACAAGAGTTATTCCTTTCCCCACGAGGAATAAGCCCTCTTGTGCAAAAGCTCTTCCACAAGAAGGCATGTAGAGAGGCAACAGGGGTTTCTTGCGCAAGAGAGTCCTATGGCTAAAATGGCCATCGGAGCTTTCTTGCGCAAGAGAGCGTCCACACTGCCATGGACGCTCTTGCGCAAAAGCACATGGCAGTGTGGACACTCTCTTGTGCAAGAACTTTTGCACAAGAACTCTTGCGCAAAACTGTTTTTACACAAGAAGCCTGCAGTGTAGACGTAGCCAGGGTGTGTCTAGACTACAGGGTTTTTTCCAAAAAAGTGGCCTTTTTTCAAAAAAACTTCCCCTGCATCTAGACTGCTGCCGTGTTCTTTCTAAAGTAAATCGAAAGAACGCAGCAGTTTTTTCGACCGTGGAAAACCTTGTTTTACGAGGAATAACGCCTTTTTTCAAAAGCGCTCTTTTGAAAAAAGGTGTTATGTAATGAAAACTGCTTTTTCGAAAGACAGCATCCAGACTGCCTGGGCGCTCTCTTTCGAAATAGCGACTTGCTTTTCCCAAAGTACTGGTTGTCATCTAGACGCTCTTTTTCAAAAGTATCTTTCGAAAGAGGCTTGCAGTCTAGATGTAGCCATAGTACAGCACTACACAAAGCAGGGAAATACATCCAAGAGGCAGCTGGTTGTGCTGGGCTAAGTGGCCCCCTGTTCGGATCCAGTGTGGCAATCCCCAGGCACCTAGATTGCCCTGCATGGCATTGCATCCAGATTGTACTGGTACTGAAAGTCGAAATGTCATCTCACAGTTGCTTCTGTGCTTCTCGGGAAGCTGTTCTCAACTGGAATGCACATTATGTGAGGCTTTGCTCTGGCTGTTAGCCAACTGTGGGTAGAGCACCACCTCGGGAGAGCGGTTACTGGAAATAACTGCATAACTGTGATTCCAAACTTTTAATTTCCAAATCTCTTGTTCTCCACTTAGCTCTGATGGGACAATTCATCAAATTGCGGGGGAGGCTACCCAGGCAGATGACGAGCCAGCCAAGCTGAAAGTCAGATTTTCCCAATGTAAGTGTGTTGTTTAAATGCTCGTTCCCTGCATCTGGCCAAATCCTGCTGCTAGGGCCTTGCTATTGACTTGAGTAGCACCATGAATTCTGCTCAGAGCTGGGTCCTGATTCTGCTTTCACGCTGATATAGATCAGAGGAGTGTCAGAGTAAACCTGGTTTAAGCGAGAGGAGAGCTAGGCCCATGGGTCAGGATAAATGTTTCTGTGGCCACAGGAAAGCTGAACAATGGTTTTTATTTTAATTGAATTATGCGGCTCGTTTCTTTTCTTGTTATCATGCCATCAAGGCTCCTGCCATCACTGTTCCATGCCTGCTTCTCCCCATTGGCAGTACCGATTTAGAAAGTATTGCTTTTGTCCCCCTTCCCTCTCCATCCTTGCACCTGCCTGCTGGCTTGGCAGAGATTTGATGGCTGTTCGAATGTCTCCTGTGTGCATGGAGTGGGGAGGGAGACAATTCTTATTCACAAAAGGTAATCCGGGAAAGGCCTCATTCTGTGCTGCCCTGCACCACGCCACGTGCACACGGTGTGAACGAGACATGCTCCTGTGCTAGTTGGTACAAGGCAGTGGAGAAACAGGCCTGGATCAGGGAATGAACCCTGTAACCAGGGGCGGATATAGGGCAGGGCGAACGGGGCGGCCGTCCCGGGCCCCGCGCTTAAAAAAGCCCCGCGCATGCACCGTGGCACCACCGTGGCAAAGGGGGGGCCCCACGGAGTTATGCTGCCCGGGGCCCCACAAAACAGTCATCTGCCCCTGCCTGTAACACGTACACCCTGCTGGGCCAAGCCCCGCTCCGTCAGACGACTCACAGCCTGACCTAATTCCAATTCCATTTGAGTCACCAGTCTAATGGAAAGCAGAATCAAGCCTGCCAGCCAGAGCCTCGGGGAATAACGAGGCTTTAGTACAAAACTCTATTGGCTTTCTTGAATCCATCAGGTGTAACATGAAAGCCCTACGTAGTAACTTCCTAAACTTTCATAGGTCACACAGCAAGTCACTAGTAAAACTGGGGAAAGAACCCAGGTGTCTTCTGGTCCCTGCTCTAACTGCTTAACTTAGCCCTGTTGGTTAGTCATGTTTGCTAACGATGTCCCTGCTGTTTTTCTAGTCATGCCATCTGCCCCTTACTGGGTCCTCTCCACTGACTATGGAAACTACAGTGTGGTGTATTCCTGCACTAATTTTATCTCGTTCTTCCACGTTGAGTATGCCTGGATTCTGTCAAGAACTCGCCAGCTGCAGCCAGAAACTGTGGAACGTCTGAAGGGCCTTCTCCGCTCCTACAATATTAACACTGAGACAATGAAGCCAGCTGTTCAAATGAACTGTCCTCCTGAGAAGTAGCTTCTACTGTTTAAGAGAACAAGACCAGGCTAGTTCTGAACTCTTTTGCTTTCTTAGTGTTGGTTTCTTAATTGAGAATAACAAGCCCTGTTGCTAATGCTAGATTGTAAACCCTGCCTGTAATTCCTGCAAGTGACAGCAGTTAAGGAATGTCGGTACGCTGTCTGTGCAACCTCTGTCATGTATTTGGAGATGCCTGAGTAAATTCTGTCAACGCTCTTTTGACCCTTCCTGTTATTACAGAGTAAGAGAGGCTTTGGCAAACAGTGAACAGCTGGATGAAGAGGTGAAATCTTTGAGGCTGATTCTGAAGTTTTGCAGCCAACACAATTCTCAAGATTGGATGCAGGAGGATGTAGGCTGTAGCATGCAAATATCCCGTAGGGCAGTGGTCACCAGCCAGTCAGTCAGAGTCTACTGGTCGATCTTTGAGTCTCTGACAGGGGATCCTGACTGTTTTAGCCAAGAGGTTATCAAGCCCATCACTTCAGCTACATCCCCCTCTCCCACAGCCTGCTGCACATAGAGTCCTAGAATCCTAGGGCTGGAAGAGACCTCAGGAGGTCATCAAGTCCAGCCCCCTGCCCAAAACAGGTCTAATCCCAACTCAACCATTCCAGCCGGGACTTTGTCAAGCTGGGACTTAGAAACCTCTAGGGATGGAGATTCCACCCCCTCCCTAGGGAACCCAGCCCAGAGCTATGTCAAGCCAGGACTTAAAGCCTCTAGAGATAGAGATTCACCACCTCCCTGCGTAACTCTTCCCAGCGCTTTCTCACCTGCCTAGGGAAATAGTTTTTCCTAATCTCCAACCTAGACCTCCCGCACTGCAGCATGAGCCCATTGCTCCTTGTTCTGCCATCGCCACTGAGAACAGCCTCTCGCCAGCCTCTCTGGAACCCCCCTGCCCTCTGCCTTGGGCTGTGTCTAGACTACATGCCTTTGTCATCAGAGGCATGTAGATTAGACACGTAGGCAAAGTCAAATGAAGCCATGATTTAAATGATCGCGGCTTCATTTAAATTTACATGGCTGCCGCGCTGAGCCGACAAACAGCTGATCAGCTGTTTGTCCGCTCAGCGC